AGCTATTTGTTTTTTATATATATATATATATATATATATATATATATATATATATATATATATATATATATATATATATATATATGTTTTTAATATTTACTGTTGCATGGAGACGACCATATATTCCATGATTGTAAATTGAAACCTCTACCTACCACGTTATCAATACCACTTCTTATATTCAATTTCAGGCTACACGGACTACCTGTACTCATCTTTTAACATAAATGAATTGTATGAATGTGCATAAAAGAAATCATTTGTGAACATATAAACCAAAAAAGTTCGATTGCTACTAACCCTATAAATTTAAGTCGATATCCACAAACTAACCATATAAAAGTGGTGGAGAGGCACTAATCCTTAAAGCTCTATATAATAAATAAAATCGAACTTAGAACAAGAGAGGACATGTTGAGCATGTGACCATAAAAAAAAACAACACCCTAAACGAACATAGATACGACATCGTATGCTGAGGAGATCAATCAACCTTTACACATAAAAGATGATCAATCACTAATTCAAGATGTTCAAAAGTAATTAAAAATCCATTGCTCGAGTAACAACCTGCGAAAGATGCACAATGAAAAGCTGCATCGAGTAAAGTCAGAAGGAAAAAAGGCACCAAAATTTAGAAAATTGCTTGGCCACTGCCAATACTGAGCCAACCCAAACCCCATCAAAAAAATATACAATTACCATACCGCAAAAAAAATCTGCAGGGTCCTTGACGACCAAAAGATATATATTCGAAAGACTTTTACAATTTTTCTTTTCATTCATCTGATGATGCAAAACTACGAACCAAATTCAAAATTCTTTTGCGTTTGTACAATCCAAAAAGTACTCGTGCAGGTCCTATAAGGCCTTTAAATCTCTTCACTTCCTCCATTGATATACATTCTCACCAGAACGTTTTACAAACTTGAACCCAAATCCCAATAATCAATCAAGCCACCTATAGCCACTACTGCTTGCTTGTTCATCAAACACTAGAATATGTGGACGAGATGATATGCAAAACAATGAAGTGTATGAGATGATATGCAAAAGAAATAATACCCTGAAATGAAGAGAAATTGTTACCTCGTAAAAAGTATAGATACTCCACATCAGGTGATTAAAATCTGAGTAATGAAATCAAAAATCACTTTCAACAGACGACCTCAACATTGTTTACTCAGGGCATCTGCAATTACATTTCTAGCTTCATTACACAATGCTTCTGGATCAATTCCGACGACAGGCTTGTGGATAACGACTTTCACGGATCCCATATTCAAGATCCCTTCAAATCCCGGTGGCATAATGCTACCAGTTCCCATGAGTGTAATGGGTACAACGGGCACTTTGGTCTTTGCTGCAACACTGAATGCTCCTTTCTACAAACCATATATTTTTTGAAAATTAGAAGATATTTAATTAGAGAAAACTATGCATGCAAAAAGACACAAACAGATTTTTATGCTTTTTAACCAATTGTATCTAACAATGGTTTGAAATATGATGTTCAGTTACCTTGAAAGCACCTAATTTTCCATCCTTACTACGCGTTCCCTCAGGAAAGAAAAATACAGATGCACCCTTCCTTATAAGCTCCATGCACTGCTTCAGACAGTCCTTCATTAAAAAATTAACCAACTTTTAAGTAATAACCCAGGAACATTCTTAACCATG